AAGTTTATTTATTTATGGTAAAAATATGCTCTATGCCGGGTATTCTTGACGAATACGCTTCAATGACAAATGCTCGGTTGCTGAATGTGACTATCACTAGAACATGTATATTGGCCGAAATTTGGGAAATAAGCCCTAAACCCACGACAAATGGCTAGAAAACTTCAGAAGCGATTCACCCCAAAAATTGGGACATTCCACGTACAGTGGGAACCAACGATATGCGAAGCACACATGAGGAAGGTTGATATGCCACTTTAAAATTGGCACAACGTTACGAGCCGAAATTAAATTATGCCGTACAAGACCTGCATGTCATGGCTATCAAAATTGCACGCGTTATTTACCTTCCTCATCCATTCACATCATTTGATACTAAATATGTTATATATAGAGCTAGCGAAACCGCCTCAAGCGCGCTATGATTGTAGCATGTAGTCATGTTTTACATGGCACTCCTATCATAATTATCCTGTTTGAACATGTCGTTTACATTCTTCGTCCATTCACATCACTCAGTGCTAAATTTAATGTGTACGAAGCTAGTAAAACAGCCACGAGCACGCTATTAGCGTGGCATGTAGTTATGCTTTACATGGCACACATATCATGATTATCATGTTTCGACGTGTTATTTACCTTTCTCGTTTATTCACGTCACGTGATATCACATTTCATATACGTGAAGCTATTGAAACGGTCCCGAACGCATCAAGAGTGTAATACGTTTTCTTTTTAATACAAGGCACGTGTGTCATGATTATCGTACTTGCACCAATCATTTACCTTCGTCATCCATCGACGTCTCGTAACACCAAATTTGGTATATGTTGAGTTAGCGAAACAGCCGCAAGCGCACTTTGAATGGCCCAATATGGTCCGGCCTAACTTTGACGAGTGCGCACGCAGGGTGAAGCGACGCTGCGCTTGCAAAACGGACGCCAGGCGCAACCGGCGTGACTAGCGTCCGCTGGCGCTGCCCGGTGACGACCGGTGCGAAATGCAAACTTTTATTTGAAAATAAACAAGGTAAAAAAATTGGCAGCATATTCACTGAGTGAATGATGGAGAGTGGGGCGAAGCATTCGTCCGTCCATTCGTTCTTGCTTCCTTCCGTCTGTGCGACCGTCCATGCGTCCATCCACCCGTCCGTGCGTGCGTCCTTTCCTGCGTTCGTCCATGCATCCGCCCCTGCGTCCATTCATGCGTCCATTCATGCATCTTTCTTTGTGTCCGTTCGTAGATATATTCAACACTCCAAGTACCACCATCTCGCATTTTTTCATCATATATTCCCCATTAAGAAACACCGCCATCCAGCGGACCTTCCAAGGACTCAACGAGAGGTGGCACACGCACACTTTCTAACAGCTTGCGCTTCGGGTCTACTTCCCACCTTTAACCACCTCGAGTTCATGGTATATACAAGTTGACTGTATTCATGGCACTGCGGCCCAACGCTCGCTAAACCTTTCTAAAACCAAGGAGGTTACGCCCAGCGAGTATAACGTAGCAACCTTTTCCTGGCAGATAGAGCTCAATGTACATGCCAATGGCTGCATGGGAAATGAGTGACAGGAGAATTTGGCTTTTACTTTCTTACAGCTTGCACTTCGTACCTACTTCCCACCTTTAACTACCTAGAGTTGATTCATGGTATATACTAGTTCATTGTATTCATTGCACTGCGGCTCAACGCTCACTAAACCTTTCTAAAACTAAGGTTGTTACACCCAACTGGTATAACGTAGCAACTATTTCCCTTCAGATAGTGGTCAATGTACATGCAATGGCTGCTAATGGGGATCGCAGCGTGCACGTTAACTAAAAGCCGAATACTCCTGTCTCTCATACCCCATTATCAGCTATTGGCATGTACATTGCGCACTATTTTTTGTTGTTCAAGAACGCAAAGAAGGAATGCTTCGCCGGCACCACCTTGGAGGTCAAAATGTTTGCAGGTCAAAGCGTAAGACTGGTTACATACTACGCGGGACGAACGGGTGCCGCTATAGGGAGCTTCGCCCCTAAAAAGATAAGGGGAGCATGTGGGTGGGGCCCTGCAAAATGCTCTACTTTGCGCTCATTACGTTACCCGGCTCTACCCAGACAGCACTGCGTTTGCCTCTCTTCGTGATGGAGGGACGCCGGGCGCGCTCAAACACGCACACGTCGAAACAACGCAACGTGCCGCGCGCCTGCATGTATACGGCAGGTATATCGGCACCTGGCGAGGCATCGCCGGTGTGACGTGACGAAACAAACGCCAGCATGCATGCGCGATGGGTCACGCCGTACTTTATTGGTGCCTTCAGTGTGGCATGTAGTTATGTTGTTACATGACACGAATCTCGTGATTATCATATTTGCAGCAGTCACATACCTTCGTCATCCGTTCACGCGGCGTAATACCAAGCTTGGCATATGTGATGCTAGCGAAACGGCTGCAGTGCATCCTAAGTGTAGCATGCAGCCATGTTGTTACATGACACGCATGTCATGAATATTATGCTTGGACGTGTCCTTTACCAATGTCCGTTCGCATCACGTAATACCAAATTTGGTACATGTGAAGCCAACGAAACGGACAGAAACGCATCATAAGCATAGCATGTAGTCACTTTGGCTCATGACACGCATCACACGATTATCATGTTTCCACCAGTCTCATATATTCGTCATCCATTCACGTTCCGTAATACCAAACGTGGTATATGTGACGCTAGTGAAACGGCCGTCAGCGCATCATAAGCGTGGCTTGTAGTCATGTTGTTACAAAACACGCACCTGTACTGATCATTATCACGTTTGCATCAGTCACATACCTTCCTCATCCATTCACGTCCCGTAATACCTTATCTGGTAGATGCGAATCTAGTGAAACTGCCAGGAGCGCACCATGAGCGTGGCGTGAAGTCATGACTAGTCCTATATAAAAATCATGACACACATGTCATGATTTTCTCGTTAAGGGGTGTCGCTAACGTTCGTTTACAGTCTTTTCCTACCATGCCAGCTTTGCAACATATTATGTGAACAAAACCACCACAAGAGCAGCAAGACCGTGAAACGTAAACCATGACTATAATGACATACTTTTTATGATTTTCATATTATGACTAGTCACTTATGCTCGTCATACAGTCGTGTTATGGCATACCACGTTTGGTGCCGATACCATTATCGAAACGGCCAGGAGAGCTACATGTCGTAAGTTGATAAATAGATAGATAGATAGGTAGATAGATAGATAGATAGAAAGATAGAAGATAGATAGATAGATAGATAGATAGATAGATAGATAGATAGATAGATATAGATAGATAGATAGATAGATAGATAGATACGGGGAGACAGACAGACAGACAAATAGATAGATAGATAGATAGATAGATAGATAGATAGATAGATAGATAGATAGATAAATAGATAGATAGATAGATAGACAGATAGATAGATAGATAGATAGATAGATAGATAGATAGATAGATAGATAGATAGATAGATAGATAGATAGATAGATATTTTCTTAGCGCGCAGGGAACGTTTCAAAAAGAAGACAGAGGGGACAGAGCGCACACTAACAACCTTTTATTGCACAGATGGCAGAATTATGTACACAAAGTCAAGAGGGCGATGAGATGACATACAGTAAAAGATAAAAAACGATGGTTTGTCAGAACATCTTATTCCAATTTTTAAATCACATTTATTACTGAAAAGGTCTTTTTATTCATAGTCCAACATAGTAACATATGGGGCACTTACGCACTCAGTTTCTGCTTTGCGAATCAAAGTGCTCTTTCTTTCACGTGCCCTTTTGTCTCTATATCTTGCCAAATATATATATATATATATATATATATATATATATATATATATATATATATATATATATATATATATATATATATATATATATATATATTCGCAATCGTGAAACATTGAGGTGCACCCACAATTTGCTCAGTGACTTGCCAGCAGGTGCTTGCCTACTGATCCGCACATAATTTGCGTGCGAAAGGGCGATCGTTAAGACCTCGTTTAAATTATATAACATCAACCAGATGATAAAGAATTAATATACACAACGCCTATAATACCTTCTAAGAACGTTTTCGCGTAATATTAATACACCCAACATTTGATGATCCTTCGTAGTTCACACTTTTACATGGAGAGCCTATCTTGTTTGTTGCCACGATAACAACACTCACCCCACTTCGAAGGTTTTTTTTAGCCATTCCTTACGTGCGCAAAGTTGCGCACTGCTAAAAAAAAATCGAAGTTTTTCAAAGCCTTCAATAATTGCTCCTCCCCCCCCCCCCCACATCCCACCGAAAAAAATGTCTGGCTACTGGTCTGGGGCTAACTCTTTGAAAGGTAAACTGAAATTGATCGAGCAAAAAAGAGACAGCAAGGGAAACAACTTTCGACTCATCGTAAATAGAATTCACTCCCATTTTACCAACAGTTATGCGGTGTGTAAAACTAGAAACGTTCTTGGTATTTTACATCATGAAAAACGTCTTGCATCAATGGCGAGAATGCAGCATGATGTTTCTCTTCACGTTATGCTGCTTTTTTGGCGCCGGTCTTGCGTTATACAAAGGCTGGCTTCAAAAACTCAGCTATGCGAAAATAAATGAATTCAGCCCCTCTTCTATTGCTACAGAAATTTTTTACCGTTTACTTGCAATGAAACCATAATGGCTATCAGCACAATATTGAGCTTTTATTGTACATAGTCACTGACATTAATCACATCAAATGTTTCCTGGCTAGCTTTGTGCATGAGTCTGCATAAGTACTGGAACCGCTTGCATATGAAGGTTTTGAGAGCATGTCGAGGCTATTTATTTTTGCTTTACATAAACTTATTGGTCGTCGTATGTAGTATTGTCTTTAATTTTTATGTTTCACTGACTTGCCGGTGGAATTGAATAAGTAAGTTATGAAATTAAATTCTAATGTTTCATGATTAACTCATTGCCTTACAGAATGAAAACACCACTTTTGCAGGCAGCTTCACATCCTTGTAATCTAGAACCTTGGAGTAAGTATTTCGCAGACATGCGAGCCTTCGGAAAACTTTATATTATCAGTTGTTTAAAATCATTCGCTCATTGATGTGTGAAACTGATGACTTGGAAAGCTGTGTGATGCCGTCATACATGCACTTCATTCTCGAGCGTTAAACGCCTACGCACTGTTACCCATAAGCAGAACATTGCACTGGACTCCTGTCGATGTGCCACAAATGATATGTTGCAGTTTCAACGCAAAAGAGGAGCAAAGCAATAGTGACAAGTATAAAAGATATGTACAGTAAACTAGCAGCAGAGTGTCTTGGATCCAATCTTGTGAACTCTACAGAAACCTGTTCAAGAGAATATGGTCGCTCCATGACGAAAAATGATGCTTATGCGGTCTGTCGTCTCAGTGCGATGTAATCAATATATTTCAATGAAGGCTATTATGTGCAGATTGTATTTCAACAACGGCCCGGTGCAAATTCAAATGACAACCAGGAAGACTTTCCTCACGAGGCGCAATCAGCCGTCTTCTACTGTCTGTCGAGATGCCGCACACCACAGAGCTAACAACCACCGCTTTGCAATAAGCGTTCGAAGTTGCCGCTTGAGCGATGAAACCGTTCATCCACTCACTGTAGCACCTCCTTGCACTTCTCCCTGAAGATCAACCTTTCCTCACTGTTTCTGAAATCTTCAAAGGGAGGGCTCCCGCACGAGGTGATGTTGCAAGCGTGTCTCGTGACTCAAATAGGTCGCCCGTTTCTTCTCTGCTTCATCAGTGCTCACACCTTGCACGTGCATGCTTTTACTACTGCGTAAAACGTAGAAAATATGGCGTGTTGGGGGGGGGGGGAGCTCTACAAATTTTGAGTTTGTACATGCATCACGTTGATGGCGGACACCCCAAAGGTGTCAATCAAATTGCTCTCAGAATGCAGTATTCGAGGACTGATGCGTAAGTGCGCCGTAAGGGGAGCACCATTAGCGGTGAGAAGTTACGGAATCGCCCTCCACTGGCCGTGCCAGTGGAGGGCGAATGGTAGCATAATGCCAACGCACTCCTCATATGTTTGGCTGTACGCGTTCTAGGAAGACAAAACGTGGACGTTCTACAGAGCATGTCTGTGAATATTTGTACGGGAGGCAGGCTAAAATGGTACAATAGTAATTTTGGATGTGAAGAAAGCACACACTTGGTTGCAGGCATTACATGTTCACAGGACATGCACTGTGAGTGCACATTACATGTAGTCACCTCGATGTGACTTCCCCTTATAAGCTCCTTGCGTAAATTGCAGACACTCCCTGACGGCCTCAAGGCCAATGTCATAAACATTTTTAGTGTCCGGTGACGAGATGGCTTCCACCATCGATGGCTCGTGTAGCTTGTTTAGTGTCGACCTGCAATCATTGTACGGCGTACACTGTTTTCTTCAATGTACTTTCTTTTACAACTACCTACCTATTTTTTTAGGTTTATTCTAATGAGCATGATTTTGAAATTTGCAGCTGTGCCATACTTCGCTCTTTCAGTGTGTATGCATGTGCGATTTGATTTTGTCTGGAAACGATGTCATGGATAGCCTGCACATATTTCCACAAACACATACAGGAAGGATCCAAAAATCTCTTTTTACCTTTCCAAACAACCATCAGCGCTTCATAAAATAGACAGTTTAAACAATTCAGGACAGCTGTAGATCACTAAAGTAACTTTAATCCAGCATACATGCAACTGAAGTAGCGTAGGTTATCCTCACTTTTGCTAAATTGATTTCTAATAAAATACAGCACAATTGAATTACATGGTAATAGGCTGCTTTGAATAGCAACACTCGCAATAAGTTTGCCCCGTTTCTAAACATCTTGGTCGTTTTCGAATACGTGGCAGTATTCAGGTTTAGTGGAGCCATAAAACACTTATATTCCGCCAGTTTGTAGAAGGAGTACAAAAAAAAACTATCCTGAAAACGCTGAGAATTCGAGGCCATCTCACGTATACGCTGCGGGGATTAAGTCTGCAAATAAATATTTTATGATACAAATGTTCAAGCAAGAAACAATCATTAAAAAAACTAGCGAAATAAAATTGGTGTTTTGAAAATAGAGTGAATTCGGAGTATTGATGTCAGCGCACCTTCTCGAATACTGCCACAAACTTAAAGTAATGGTACGCCGCGTGGCATAGCATCATAAATTGATTTTAGGCGAAAACCTTTAGTGCAGAACGCTCGCGTCTGTGATAGGACGCGAGTATGCCACTCGTTCTCTGGAACCGTGCCAACTGTGGCATCTCCCTCTTGCAATATCTCTCACCGAACCCGTGATGGCACAGCGGTGGATAGCAAGAGTTGCGCCATGGCAGCTGTGGCGTCCCCCCCCCCTCTTACACTCTAACATCAATCACGTGATTTCTGAGAGAGTGAAAAAGACAAAAAAGGAACGGCACAGTAAGTCGAGTGATCAAAGGCGTTCGCCGAATACACTTTATAATTCACTGTGTCCCTAAATTTTTATTGATTGATAAGTGAGCTTTAACGTGCTGAATTCACCATACGATTATGATAGACGCCGTAGTGCAGGGCTCCGAAATCTTCCACCATCCGGGGTTATTTCACCTCAAACTTTTTGAACCCGTTCGTGTACTGTTGTGGTATGTATGTGTTCTGGTATATAAGGAACAATGAGTTTTCTCTTGTCAGCACTTTGTATTCTGTGAGGACTTTTTGTCGTTTATTATGTTATGTGTAGGCTTTCATACAATAAATAAATGCTTTACATGGCTTACAGTGAAGAGTGTCTGCTGCGCTGATGCAAACAACTGAAAGAGCCAATATTTTATCATTTCAGAAACAGAGTTGAGATTTTTTCTTGTCTACAAGATACGAGTTTCACCAAAATGGTCAAGACAAAAAGGATTGAAGATGCCTAAGAACATGAAATGGCAAAGTCCTAATGCATGAAACAAATGCGCAAGAATTCATTTTTTTTTTTGTGTAACTGAATAAAAAATGTTCAACCAATACTAGTTTCACACTATGCGGGCACATTCGAAAGCAGATTTGCTTCAGTAGCATCTCTACTATTCAATATGCATTGCCTTACGAGGGACTTATTTCATAGTTATATTACAAAGTTTCTTGATTGCAGACTGAATTTGTTTACAAATTATGCTGTCTTGTAATAATTGGCTGAAAATGTTAACGTTTCCCGTGGTGGTTGCTGACATGCTGTCCAGCAAAAAACTTCAAGAAAATGATGTTTCAATTCGATGTTACCATTTACTCCAGAAAACTCATTTCGCTCCCTACGCAATCGTACCGATTAAAATACATTGCAGATATGTACAGGTAAGAACACAAGACATGCCAGCAGAGATAATGCGATAAAATGAAATCTATTCAAACAAACTGCCATTTCACTCTTGATTCTGGAAAGGAAAAGGTACGAAAACAGTACTACGCGTGACCGCACATGAGAAAAACACTTAGGTACTGTGGACGGCAGAAGACTGCCACCTCTTAATAGCATTTTTAGTGAAGTACCGAGATGCATAGCCGATATTTACCCCAGAGCTCTGGCTACAAAAACTAACGGATTAAGCAGCTCTTTTGACCCGTACTAGAAAACTGGGCACAAATTGATATTTCAGTGGCTGACTAAATATAATGCCATTCATGGCAATGACCAAGCGGACGCAGCTGACTGATCTTCCTGTGACGGTGTCAGCAGCGGTGCCATTCCCCTTTCCAGATCCGACAACGACAACGTGCTAGCCTGTCGACCTAAGGTAGAAATATGGCATTCCCCGACTTTCACAAGTACACGGTATATAATTTGGGCCCTGGCCTTCAGCTACGTCTTTCATTCAGCCTATCACGATGTGACACTATTTTGCTGTGCCATTTGTGGCTTGGAGTGGCACTCTAAAACGCTTATTGAGTTGGGGGCAGCGTTAGAACGAATACACCACCGAGAAAATACACGACAAGCGCTGAAAATCACTTGTGTCATTTCTTGTTCATGTAATCGTCCTAACGCTACCCTAATGATTTAATCATAAATTTTAACCAACTAGCCCACGTTTCCGATATTCTGCGTATTCATTTCTTGATGCAATGGCTGATGGCCCGTCTTGTCAAGTATGCGGGTGCAGCAAAACAGCAGCGTGCCTGCTTTGTGGTTGCACCACTTCAACTGCGTAAGAGCAGCCCTCTCAAACGCACTAGGAAAGCTGGAAAACCGCTCCTGACAGAGAACAAAATGCAGGGGCCCTTGCCTACCCGGTCTGTATCACGAGCTGCTTTGAAGGCACTGTTGCGGTTCCTACCTCAGACATTTTATTGAACTTTCATTTTTGTGTGAACACTTAAATTGGCGTGATTACTTGTCTTATTTACAAACTCAGTGTGGTGCGGACACATTTCTATGCAGTGTGGACCCATTTCTGTGTGGTGTGGACACTCAGGGTTGAAAAACATGAACTCATTGTGTAAGTGTTGTGCTATGTACATATGTATAGCCTTGTGTTTGCTACAAAATGTGTGATATTGACTTTTGTGCAGGAGAAGAGGAGTAGCCGGCACCTCGCATTGGCACCAACCTCTCCTTACATACATTTAATTAAAAAAACGGACATAGAGACCAACTGTGACTGTTCACGGAGAACGTTTCTTCCTATAGCGCGGGGATAGTACTCGAGTCACTAGATCCTTTTTTTACTGTCACTAACACTTCTTCTGCTCCTTCACGATTTTACAAACTTTTTCTCTTCCCAAGCAAAAAGTAGCAAACCGGAGCCTTTTTTTGGTTTACCTCTACGTCTTTCCATTATTTTTGTCTCTCTCTCTAGCCAAGTAGAGCACTTCTGCATGTACAATGCACAAACTTAATGCTTTAGAGCAGAATGAAAACTTCTTATGTGTCACTTGATATTGATACGGGACTTTCATTGAAGCACAGTAGAGGACGAAGAAGTGAATGTGTTCTGTGCCAGGCCTGAATTCTGCAACCATCTATCATCCCGCCTGTACAATAAACATCTCTCACCCGTAACATAATTGGTCGAGAGTGTTGGGTAACGCCTTGGAGCACCGGACAAGTACGGCGGAAGACACACCCCTTAAGCTTCGCCGGAGCCACAGACTCGCAGGACTTCCGGTGCTACCAGTCGTCTTGAACCCTGACGGCGAAATCCAACCAGCTGCGTTTAACACATATGGACACCATTACAGGGATTCGCGCCCGTTTTCTGAGAAACCTGGAGAGGACGTCAATGAATGGCTCAAGCACTATCGGTGGGGAGTCTGTATACCCACTGGGACACTACCTGGCAGCGCAACTACGTACCACTTTTTCTTGAAGGAACCGCGTTGATGTTGTACGAGAATCACGACGAAAATTTGACTACGTTGGCGAATTTTGTGGACGAAATCAAGAAGAGTTTTGGAGATCTGACCACGATGAAGAAGCGTGCTCAGCAGACCCTGAGCCTACATGCTCAAGTCCCTGGGGAGACATGTACGATGTATATTGTAGAATTTCTCGAGCTTTGCAAGAGTGTGGACCCACTAATGGCTGATGAGGATATGGTTGGGCATCTGCTTAAGGGCATTGCGGAGGATATCTATCACTACCTTATAGGAAAGGATCACTTGCAGTCGGCGAATGACATCATCCGACATTGCCGAACATTTGAGGCCCTCAAAGCTCGGCGCATTTCGGCAAAGTTTGGTTGACACCCCAACATCACAACGGTCGCAAGCATCGACGTAGTTCCTCCAACCAGCGTTCTGGCGTCAACAATACGAGAAATAGTGCGCGAAGAACTTGATCGGTGGGTCGCTGCTGCACCGTCGATAGCACATGGCCACGGTTCTTATACGCCATGTGGCCCCCCTCCTGCGTCCATCCACGCTGCGGGCTTCGTCGACTCAAGGACGCCGGTACAGTTGCGTCGTCATGCCTATATGTTTGATCCGGGAAACGACTCCATGCAAAGGTCACCCCCCGATAGGGCAGCGTGGCCAGGTTATCCCGCTGACCATCTTCAGCAGCGAGTGGGGCGTGAAGCACCTGTGTGCTTTTAATGCGGCGTTCGTGGGCATATAGCCCGTTTCTGCTCGGAGCGGCATCCGTCACCTCTGCCGCAGTATCAACGACCCCCGGCATCTTCACGGCACGCATGTACTTGGAGAGACTATTGCTGGCCATCCAATGGCTAAAACCGAACCGACTTCAAACACACCCTCCACAGCAATTCGCCGGCTTCTGTGCGGTGTGTGACGCCACCAGCCTCCTCCCGCCGGCATCGGTCACCCTCACCATGTCGTCAGCGTCTCACTTCTCCTCCTCCGCCGGGGAACTAGACGGCGCGGCCGATGGAGGTGAGGTCGCCGGACATTTTTCACTGCGTACAGATATGCCGCGCCAGTTTCCATGCTACAAAACACGGTCAGTGTTCTTATAGATGGTGTCCCCATGTCCGCGTCAGTCGTCACAGGAGAAACTGTTTCCGTCATGAGCAGAAATTTTAAGACTCGTCTTGGCAAAAGAGTGATGTTCTCTTGGGGAAGCCAGACAATGTTTCGCGCAGTGAGTCGAGAACCGTTGCGCCCAGTGGGAGTTTGTACTGCAACTGTTAGTTTCGGCGCTAAATTCTTTAAAGCAGATTTTGCATTTCTTCTTAATTCTACTCATGACGTTATCCTGGGGATAGAACTTTTGAAAAAATGTGTAGCCACTGTGGATTGCGCAGCTGGTGAAGTTTTACTGTCTGGTTTTTGTGAAGAGCCCACACGATGCCAACAGACTATCGCAGTCGTTGATGGCATAGTTTTACAGGCTCAATCGATATTTCAAGTGCCTGTGGATGTTTGTGGTATCACAGCAGATAACGTTGACCTTATAGTTCACCCAATCTAGCTGAACTGTGCGAAGAAAGATGTGGTTGTGCCGCACTGCGTGATTTCTGCAATTAGTGGAAAAGCCTTGGTATGTATGGTGAACTGCTCTTTCGAGCCGATTGTACTGCCTGGTGGAATGAGGTTGGCTTTCTTGGAGTTCGACGTCAGGAGTAACGTTAACATTTCAGTCATTAGCGACGACAGGAAAAAGGAAAATGCGTCTGATGTGGCTTGTCCTAGTGTTGGCATACTAATGGATATGGTGAATAAGTCGCTATCGCCAGAGAAGAGACAAGCGTTAGTTCGGATCCTCTCCAATCATGCATCCGCTTTTGATTTCGCACTCAACAGCCGTAAATTTTCTGCACCACCTTCACGCACTCGTCATGCGATTCATACTGGTTCGCCCATCTCATTCGTCAGAAACCATACAGAGTATCTCCATCGGAGCATAAAGTTATTGCAGAGAAGGTGGAAGAAATGCTGTCTAAGAAAGTTACACAAGAGTCGTCTAGCCCCTTGGCAGCACCAGTTATACTTGTAAAAAAGAACGATGGGTCTTGGAGATTCTGTGTAGATTACCGGCTCCTCAACTCAGTTACGAAGAAGACGTATATCCGCTGCTCCGTTTCGACGACATTATCGATTATTTGCACTCTGCTTCAACTTTTCTTCCGCATACTTAAAATCGGGATATTGACAAATCCTTATGCCCTCTGCCAATAAAGAAACAATGGATTGTATAGCTCCAGATGGTTTATTTGAATTTAACGTCATGCAATTTGGTCTATGTAACGCTTCGGCCACGTTTGAGCGCTTTATGGACACAGTTCTTTATGGTTTAAAAATGGAAGTATGTCTTTGCTATCTTGATGACGTTGTAATCTTTGGCCGCACGATTTAAGAACACAATCATCGACTTGATGCCGTTCTCACGTGCCTTGAGAAAGCACCACTTAACTTGAATTCCAAAAAGTGTCATTTTGGTGATCGTGAAACTCCATTTCTTGGCCATCTCGTAGACAAACACGCCGTTTGGCCTGATCCCCACAAAATCACCGTGGTCATCACTTTCCCTCAACAACGCTCACTACGAGAACT